ATTCGCCTAATTGCATTCATACCCTTAAGACTCCCCCACTTTCCCAAAAATCCTTGGCACACCCCTTTTCGCACTTCCAGGCCCATACCCCACTCTGATCAGGAAGTCACGCTGGGCGTGAGGTTGGGCGTCACAGCCCCATCTCCCATGGGGAGATTCCCGTGTCTTCTTTTGACCTGAGTCACAGTCACTGATGATGTCCGGGGACAGTCACTGATGCTGTCTGGGGGCGGATGTGGTGAGGGAGACCCGGGTGGGGGTCGAGGAGGAGGGGGAATTGACGGGCGAGGGTGGCCAAGGGGGAAATGGCAGGGGTGGGGGTGGTGGGTGGGGGGGTGGGGGCGGTGGCTGTGACTGCCTGTGAGGGGACCGGTGGGGCTGGGGGGGACCAGACTGGTGGTCAAGTACTAGCACAAAGTTTGTCGGGAGGAAGGGAACTTTGAAATCAGTGAGAGGTTTTCGTTGCCAGGACGGTTCCAATATCCTCCATGGTTTCCATCGTATGTTGTGGACGGCGTCCAACTCAAAAAACAGTTTGGCCGGGTCCTGCCATAGTTGATGGTAGGATTCCCGGATGGCTTCTTTGGCTGCAGGTTCCTTTTCCTCCATATAATCCTTGATAAAGGCTTTCCAGGCCTCCTGGGTTCTTGCTCTAATCTCGTCTTCTATGGCTTGCTGTGCTTGCTGTAACCCAAATTGGTGGCTTTTCCTTTCAAAAGAACATCTAGCTCTCCAAGCCAGCATGAGTATCTGCAATCTCATATAAGAGAAGAGGTTGGTGGCATAGGGAGACCATTGTGCCATCAGATGTCGGTTCTTGTCAAGCATCAGGAGACCAATGTCCCACGGGATGTGGTAGCCCGTAAGGGAGTGGAAAGTTGCATCCCACCACCTCCACAATTGGGTGACCATTGGACAGCCCAGCAGGCAATGCTCCAGTGTTGCCCGAGCCGGAGGCGATGAGCTGCCACAGTAAGTGCAGATGGGGACAACAGCCCCTTCTGTTCAAGGTCTGTTCTTGATACTAGCCAGTCTGGAGTGGGCAAGCAGCGGTGGAGGATTTGCCATTGGAGGGCTCTGAGATTCGTAGGCATGCTCTTGGAGTACTTGGCCCAAGGCAAACTCTCCATCAACTTCGAGTCCATAGGTGAGTCACGCGGCCATCTGTTAGATAACGTGTGGTCGATTGCCACTAGTGGGTTGGAGGCTTTGTATCCCCCTTTGACGTAATAATCCCATATGTGCATTGGTTTCGGCCCAGACCACTCCCATTCACCCGGGTCGAAAGGTAGTTTGGCAAGTGGCGTTGTGGGCTCGTACACAAGGAAGCCTTCCTGGTGGTCCCCTACCACACATATGCGGATGAGGCCCACCCAACTTTCATTGTCGTCCAAGTCTTCATTTCGTGCGAGTTTGGAAAGTCTGGCTCCTGGCAGATCTAGCTCATAGGCCTCCAATGAACACAGCCCACCTTTGTTTTGTTGGACTCTGAATATCGTGAGTGGGAGGGGCAGATCTGCATGCCTAACCACCAGTCATCCTGGGCCCTCCTTGAGGGCTAGTCGCCACATTAAGGGGAGAGCTTCCCTTAGTTTGGCAGCTTTGTCTTCCACATTTTGGCGTATTTCAGCTTGAACTGTAGCTGATCAGTCGTGGCTCAATCACCTTTGTACGGGTCCCAGAGGTCTCCCACCATGAAGATTCCTTTTTTTTCCCAGGTAAGCCACTGTAAGTTTGTTGATAACGAGAAGGGATGACCATCCTCGCCCAGTACATAGAGGTTGCCAAAGAGCGGCTGCCTCCATATATTGTGCCATCTGTTGGGGGCTTGTTTTTGTTGTGCACCACGTGTCCTCCAGAGTTTGAGGATATAGGGCCACAAGGGGTCCAACAGCATGTCTATCCTTGCTGCTTGTGCTGGGTTATCTGCCTGCACTTGTCGCAAGGGGGTGGGTATCGACCAATGCTTGTTAGTCAGCCACCGGAAAGGGTGCAAAGTGTTAGCTGTCGGCGATTCTGG